CTCAGCCTGTGCAGCCGCAGCAGCCGCAGCAGCAGCAGCAGCCAGCCCTTTCAAGCAGTGGATTTGGGCACTTCCAGCAAGCCACCACTAGCTCCCCATCAACATCACTCACCCAGCTCTCATCAAACTCACCCCCGAGTCTCCTGAATCAGTTCCAGCCTGCCACAAGACCGCTGCAGGGGGGACAGTTACAGCAGCTCTCGGGCAGTGGGACTTTGGTAGGAGTGAATCACTTCCAACCCCCTCCTTCTTCCAATTCTCCATCCTCCAGCCTCAGCCAGCTGGCACAGGCCTCTGGTGGGTCGTCCTCGGGCCTGTGCCAAACACATCCAAGTGCATTAGGATCTCTAACTGGAACGATAGCCCAGCTCCACCAAGAACGGCCTCCTTTTGCCTCCATGTCTCCACTACAACAGTCTGGTGTCGCCTCTCCCTCTTACACCCCTTCTGGCCTTAGTCCTCCTAGTCAGAGCCCAGTGGCAACAAGAACTTTCCAGTGTGGCCCTCCTGGGGCCTCAGGCTCTCACGGATCTCTGCTCCTGCCTCAGACCGCCAGCCCACCTCCGCAGATCCTGCACTCCAAGAGCACGCAGCCTGTGCCGCTGGGACGTCTGAACCAGGACATCAAGTTGATTTCTGCTTCCCAGCCATCTTTGCCCCAAGAGCTGTCTCAGTCACTGAGCCAAAGTTCTCCCCATTCCTCTAGAGAATCTGTTTCCAGCTTCTCACCTTTTCCGGGTGGAGGGACTGGACTTCTTGGGAAGCCTTGTAGCTCAATTCCTGGGCGTGTGACTTTACCACGTCAGATGTCCTCAGGTTCCTTACCACATCCACTGGTGTTTGGGGCTGGCGCTGCAGGCGCCGCTTCTCTGACTGCTGGTGGGCGGAAAGAATCCATAGTGCTCACGGGAGATCTGGAACCTGTCAGATCCAAACTGCCCTCCAATTTGTGAGGACTCCTGAGAGCTGGTTATGTCAGCCGTGCAATTCAGTTCCTGATTAGACTTTCATGAATCATTTTTTTCCTTTTCTTCCCCCCTCGCCCTCTTTTTCTCCATTTCTTTTGTTTAGGTTTAACTGTGGTTAGAAAAAAAACCAAAAAAGATGAAAAATGACAAAAAAAGAAGATAACCAGGTATTCTTAGAGCTATAGATTTTTGGTCACTTGATTTTATAGAATATTTTAATACATGGAACAAAAGGAAATGAGCAAATTTAATCCAACGAGGTAACTCACAGACAAGGCATGTGCCTGAGCTGGAACATGTGAATGATCAGCCATAGAAGCCACCAAAAAAGGTTTTCCTGTTGAGACAAAGATCCAAGGTTGACATGGGCCGTAAAAGGGAACATCAGGTCAGGCCTGTAGCTGGTGTTTTTAGAACAGCTCTGGTTGGCCTCGGCTTTGCATTGCTTTGCACCAGCTGTGAACCTGGCACCTAGTTCTGAGGAGACTTGGATGGCTCACTGTGCACATCACAAAGTTTCGCTTCCTCACAGGTTTTCTCCTGGGCCCAGAGGAAGCAAGGAGAGGGGCGAGTTTCAGTGATGCAGTCCCCTCTAGGGATTTCAGAAGGGCTGAGTTTTTGTTTGGACTCCATCTGAAGAAGATGAAGGTGACCAGGAGGTGGACGGGCCTGACTTCAGATGCTTGTCTCTTTCTTATTCCACTGCTCCTCCAGTGGGAACAAGAAGCAACTCCTTCTAAGTCACAAGGAGGGCAGCAAATATCCCCTCTGTATTTTTGTAGGCATTGTAGAGGTGGTTTGTGGGAGAAGCCCCATCTCCCTGCCAGCATGCCAGGCGGCTGGCCCCAGCCAGCAGAAGAGTCCAAGCTTCAACCTCTCTGTGATTTGGAAGGCGTCTGTGCTGCCTTCCAGGTTGGGGAATGCAAAGCAAGGGGAGAGATGAAAAAAGAAGCAGCACTTGAACCTACCCTCTCTCATCTTAATGTCTCAGTGTCCATGGGCTGCCTGCTCTGAAGAGAACTGGGTAGAAAACAGTGGAAAAGCGGGTTGCAGTCCCCCCAGCCCTCTTCCTCCTTAGCCCAGGGGAGTCTGAGCTGAGCTTTGAGGCATCAAGGGTAACACTGGTGCCCAGCCAAGAATCCTCCAGATTCACAACTACGTTTGTACCATTAAACCAGATTAGACCAGAAATTTGGCCAGCCATGGTCCATCCTTCTCCTCTGATGGGGCAATTGAAATCGTTTGCTTGATTTCACCAGCAATAACAGCCTGCACCTGACTGGCTTTGGTCATGCCCTGCAGCTGCAGCATCACTGGACACATCTGGGGCCTGGCAGGCACCTTGAGCTGGATTTTTGGGGCTCCCCTGATTTAAGGCAGGTCAAAGTGGGATGAAGGCAGTAAGGGGCCGTTGAGTGTGCACAGCACTGAGAAGCTACAGTCTTTACCTCTAGAGCAAATGTCTCCTTTTCTTTATTTTGTTCCTTCCTTTCTCTTCTGTTTTTTCTTAGGCCGAGAGGTGTCTCTGGCCATCTTGCTGTAAAGAGTCAGGTGCTCAACTTCTCTAACACTTGTTAGAAACATGTGTCCAGCCTCCCTCTGTTTCCAGCTGTCGTGGGTTCCCTCCAGCCCTCAGAGGGAAAGCAGGACTTGATGCAGCAGTGCCAAAAACCTTACTGTTACCACAGTAATGATACAGGTCCATGTACTTCCCTCTGTTACCTCCTCCCCACCCAGTTCTCACCCAAACCACTGACGGTTGATTTTTTATACCGAATATGTCTGCAAAACTCTTGACATGTGCCTGTATCTTGAATGTTGCTGCAAGCATTCCTGGGCACTCCTGCTTCAACATGCTTTGGTGGCTCAGAATTCAGATGTAATCAGCTTTGGTCTTCCTTAAAGGGTCAGGGGAACTCGAGAAATGTTTTTTCTACTAGCTACATGCAGCTCCGTATGTGTGAGTGTGTGTGGTGGGAGGGGTGCATGTGTGTGTGTGTGTGTGTGTGTATAGATTTTATATATATCTCTATATATACACACATGCTTTTATATATATAGTATACAGTTATACACATATGTAATCTATTTATGCACATGTGTAAGCACGCGCACACACACACACATATATTTATATATATATATATATCTTAGTTTTAAAATACATGTCAATTTTGACCCCTCTGTGGGACTGATTGGCAGGTGATCCTTATAATATATAGCTCCTGCTTTTCCAAATATGTACAGGTTCATCTTGAAACAGAATCAGTTGACAGAATTGAAGCAGATTTGCAGACCCTCTCATATTTTCATAGGTATGAAGCAGTTCCTTAGAAGGAAGACTTAAAATATCCTTTTATAGTTGTTTTACCAATCTTTTTTCCTTCCTATGCTAGAGGGCCCCTAGAATGAGCATCTCAGGAGTTTGGGAGCTAAGC